CAGCACCCTCAATTTGTTGCCTCAGGTCCTGGGTAGGGGGGGAGGGAAAAGCAGGCCAGATAAGCATGGCAGAGGGGCTCTATTCCCCCACAGCTGTCCCAGCCTCCTGACACCTGCAACTCAGAGCTGCCTGGCTTTTCACTGCAGAGAGAATTGACTGGGAGGACGGATAAAACTCCCCTGCCAGGTGTGTCCCCCCCAAATTGCTGGCTTGGGTCCATGTGGTAAGGAGGATCTGTCCCCCCGCCTACCCCAGCCTCCTGTTGGCTGCAGCTCCGAGGCACATGTGACACTATACTGCACCAGGAACTAGGGGAAGGGGATGTGGAAAGGGAGTCCCCTTGTTGTGTGCCCCCACAGCTTGCTGGCTCATGTCTTGGGAGAGCTCATCCAGTTCAGCTTGGCAAGGAGGCTCCCTTCCCTTTCCAACCCACCCCCAGTTCCCAGTGCAGTGAAAAGCTATGTGCGTCTCTGAAGTGCAGCTTTCAAGAGGCTGGGAGGAGGAACAAAGTCCTCTTGTCACATGGGCCTGGCCCCTGCCCCCCTCAAGACCTGAGCTATCAAGCTGAAGGGGGCTTTCCTCCCTCATCCCAACCTGTAGCTTGGTGGGGGGCTATTCCCCTCTCTCCAACCCAACCTCCTGATGGCTGCAGCTTGCAACTGTGCACAGCTTTTCACTGCATCAGGAACTGCAGGTGGGTGGCTGGGTGGGGCAGCAGAGCTCCTTGCCATGCAGACCCAGCCCAGCTTCTTCCAAAACCCAAGCCAGCAAGTTGGGGGAGGCCTGCATGGCCAGGGTACTCAAACCTCCCCCCACAACACACACACACACTCAGACATATAGAGAGGATGAAGAGCCATTTCTATCTCCTCTGTGTGACAGCCCAGGAGCATGGCTTTGCCAGTACTCACCCAGAGCAGATAAGGACCACCTGACGCTAGCAGTCCACCAAGCAAAGGGCTCCTGGGATCCTGGCAGAATGTGACCTACCTTGAATTGCAATGGGTACAGACCTTTGATAAAAGCTCTCTAACTTAAGGTGCTTAAGTCTGATATCACATCCATCTAGGGTTAACTTAGAATGGGATCTGCCATTTTTAGAGCACTCTGTGTGCTATGAATGTCTGTTTGGTTATGGCTGTAGAGTGTTTTCTGCATGCTTATTGCACAATAAGCATAATAGCTGTACCTAGCCTCAGTTATATGATAGAAACCTGTAATAGCTCCACTGAAATGGAAGAAACAGCTCCAGATTTACCCCAGTGGGCTGTATCATTAAAATTGTTTTGCACAAACAGATGTGAGCAATGACTGCAAGTAAAATTGCCAGTCCAAATTCTCTGCATTTCTGTGCATCTCTGTTAGCTTGTCAGGCTGAAAAGTGACAGTGCTGACATCTCGCTCTCTTTGTTTGTCTCTGTATTCGATGACTATATCCACCTGTCTCATACAACACATTTAAACTTTGTTTTCCTCCTCCATTTGTGCATTGTGTGCTGAAGCTCCCCTAGTCTTGCTTCAGGCCCTCTGCACAGGGAAGGAGGCTTCAACAGCAACCTCCACACTCAGTATTCTTCCATTTGAGAAAGAGCAGAAAAGTCCATGGCGTGCTTCTAAAATGATTAATGTAAGTTTAAAGTGATTTTTTTGCCTTGTTCTCTTTTTTTATTTTGCTTGTCATGTTGAGACCTGGGAATTTTTAGCAACATATACTGCATGCATCTTGCTTAACACTGTATTATCTTTAGCAACTTCTGTGGAGATAATGTGACTGATTTTTGTGGTACTGGAGCAAGAAAATGGATCAATCAGCAGCTGTAAATTTACTTACTCTTTATCATGTCCTTACTCTTTATCATGTCCTTTTCCATTTCTTGGTCTAGAATGTATTTAAAATGAATGTGTTACTTTTTAACTATATTCTATCTTACTACAGTTTCATTATTCAAGCTTAAGTGAATTTGGTAATTCAGGGTTGTTTTTGCTTTTGGTGAGAAGACTTTATTCCACAAGTAGTCTGTTTGATTTCACTCTGTTCTCCAAGGGAAGATTAGACTCTGGGTCTTATAATGTAACCCTTTTTTCAAATGCTTTGACTTACATGGAGTTTGATCATAATGGGGGTTGTTGTATAATAATAATAATGACAATAATAACACTACTGCTGCTATTACTACTACTAATTTGCATTGAGAGTTTGGTTTTTGCAAACTTTTTCTGTTAAGCATGGTCCACCCAAGGATAGCTGGTCCCTCAGGCCAGAAAGATAAAGATACATCAGTCTCTAACCATACCAGTATACAAGGGGATGATGGTGCTGCTAGCAACTTATTTAGGCACGGCTATATGCCCAGATTGAATAACTAGGCATACATTTACAGCTGAATTGATTGTGGGAGGAAGTAAGAAGGGTTTGTCCTCACAGTGGTCTTGCCCTCATAGCTGCGGCCTTGAATATGCCCTACCTGTATTCTGCTCACCTGAATCAGCAGAGATAGTCACAATTTAGAAATGTATCACTGAAGCCACTCTGGATTCTGAATTCTTTGCACTCACTCTTGACCCATAGTCTTCAGTATGCCTGATGGACTCACAAAAAGGCCAGAATCACCTTACCTACCCTAACTTCTAGCCATAGGATATTTACTATGAGAGTTTGGTAGCACTGGGTTAGTAGAACTTGAGGTGTAAATGCAGTATGTTAACCAAGCCAACATAATATGCCCAGTATTGGTATGAAGTTAGTGGAGCTGTTTCATATTTATACTGGTACAATTGATCAGGACTGGACCCAGTGGTCTGACTTTATCCCATTTATTTTAATGTAGTTCTACAAGGAATGAATTTGGCGCTCTATCTTTAGTATAAGTTGTTCCCTGGGGATTCTCTGAGAGAGCTGGCTAAATTCTCAAGAAACTACTTCCTTTAATAAATAAATAAACACATAATTAAAGTGCCTGGTGCTTTTGGCCAGACTGCCTCATGTGTAGTTCCTCTAAAGTGATGATTTACAGTTCTTGCATACTGTGAGTATTTGTTCATGGTCCTTAGGGGCTCTGCAAGTGAGGCTGTACATACTGTAAACAATTTATAATGTTGTGGCCATTACTGTTTATTGAGAATTTGAGTACACTAAATAGGGGTTTGTTGCAAACTAGGGTTACTCAGACAATGATAAATTAAGAAAAATGGGAGATATTTTGAATATTAGAATACATTCTTATTATTCATGGCTGCTTGTTATCTGGTACCATCATATTAATCTTAGGATCATTGTTTGTATTACAATAAAAATAACATGATGCTTTCGAACTCAATTCCCCTGTGGTCCACAGCATCTGGCTGTTTATGACAAGCAGTAGGCACACACGGGCCTGATTTTTCCATTCTCTTATACCACTGTAAATCAGGCATAAAGTCAATGAAAATAATGGAGTCACTCTCACATGAAACTGACTTAAAATGGAAGGAGAATCAGGTTGATATGATTTTAAAGAGACTGTCTCATCATCTACCTACCCTGTTACAAGTAGTTCCAATATCCTCCAAAAGAAAACAAAACATATGGATTTATTTTTAATTTTAGTTACAATTCAGTGCTGTTTTGCGATGCACAATACCAAACATGTACAGACCTGTAAACAGTTTAGCTGACCTGAAAAGTCTGCACTTGAAAATAAATTACTGGCAATGTTCTCCTTGTGTCTCAAATTGGAGAAACAGTATTTGTAAAAGTAATGTCCAGAAAAGGCTGGTGTTATAGTTAGGACAGGCATTTGGGGCTTAGGAAATCTGGGTACAGTTCCAAAATCTATCATACACTTCCTTTGTGAAACTGCAAATCATTTAAATCTGGGCCCTGCTCCCATGACCTTTTCTGTATTTTGAATTAAATAGTCAGTGGATGACATATAGAAGTAGTTAAGGGGGCAGGGACCAGAACCAAGGTCTTCCCTCTTCCATTAAAGTTCCTGACCACAGGTCTAAAGAGCTATGTTTCCTTTTGTGCTCTTGTTCTCTCTTTAGTCCAATTAATCTTACATTCTTCTCTGCACAGTGGCACAGCTTCAAAAGGAAAGATGGAAAGTACCATTACTTCAGCCTTAGTTATAGCCTGATGATTAGGTCACTTTCCTAGGAAATGGGAAATACAGGTTTGTACCCCCTGGTCATGTCTAGACAAGTGCGGCCATGTGGTAAGTGGTGCCACAGTCACTTCTGCAGCACCACATACCACACTTTTAGGTATTCTCTGCACTGCAAGGGAGCAACACGGAGGGTGGGGTGGGGGTTGACCCCTAGATATCCAAGGGTAAAAAACCCTTGCAAAAAAAAAGTGGAGTGGCACATTCAGCAACAGTGTGTGCAGCTCAAAACCAGAGCCTGGCCAGCTGGAGCCATGCTCCAGCTGCTGGCCTGGCTCCAAGCAGCAGGATTGCCACTGCTGCAGCCCCAGGAGGCCCCCAGGACCCCAGACAAAGTTGCTGGGGCCATCCCAGTTCTGGCCGCAGCTTCCCCTGCCCTACCCAGAGTAACTTGCCAGGTGCCAGAGGGCACATAACCCAGGTATTCCCCAGGGACAACTAGTGGCAGCACAGGTATGCCACTGCTAGTTGTCCCTGAGGAACCAAACGTCCATTCTCAAGTGGATGCAGCCTCTCAGACTAAAGAGAGAATTAAATCCAGGTCTCTCAGTTCCCAAATGAATGAGACAGTTATACATCCATTGGCCATTTTCAAGTACCTGTGAAGTATTACCCTGCTACCAGCCACCACACACGTTCCAGTGTGCATCTGTAAGATTATTGTAATTCATTCCAGGGACAAGCTTGTCAGGTTCTTTGCTGTCAGGTTAAAACAGGCAACTGATTTAATACAGAGCTGACTGTCTCAGGTTAGGGATCCCATGAGAACAGATGCCACACAGTGGGCATATCTATACATAATAATAATATGATGCAATACATTCCAGTGTAGTTTGCACTGAAGTTTGTTGTTCCTGGGTCCAGCATTTACATGTGTTCCTGGGACCACAGCACACTGAGCAGGGGCAGTGCAGCCCTGATTGGCAGGAGGCCCAGGGGGTAAGCTTGGCTGCCTGCAGCTGCTCCTCACTAGCTCAACATGCTGTGGAGGGGGCTCACTGGGGCATGATGATGCCACAGTGTGGGGCTAGTCAGCAGGCAGTCCTTGTGTCCTGGCCAGCCCAAGTCACCATCTACACATGCATTGCACATAGTCATAGGTGGAGGGAGAAAATATTATTGGGGAGGCGCTGAGCGCACATGCACGTGCACACTCACATGCCACTCAGCAGGTAATCTCTGGAGGAGAAGGGGTGGGGGGGATCAGATTGAGGCCCCCACAATGAGGGAGGGATTGGGATAGGGGCAGGGGCTGGGGTGAATGGGGCCCTGGGTCAGGTTGTGGAATGGTTGCAGGCTGGGTGGCTTGTCCACGGGTGTGGGAGGGCTCCCTTCTCTGCACACACCCCAGGGGAGGCATGGGGGGGCATGTGCCCCCTGGATCTGTGTGTGGGGTGCAGGAGGGCTGCTGCTGGGGGCTGGGCTCTGTTCTCTGCTGCCACTGCCTCAGGAGCTGTGTGATGACATGTACCTACTGCTGCCAGGCTGTGCCATGTCCCCTGCCTGGCTGGTGGCAGCAGGCACATGGTGTCACAGAGCTCCTGAGGCAGCAGCAGCAGCAGACCAGAGGGCCCCAGCCCACAGCAGCAGCCTGTCTCTGCTCTGCGCACAAATCAGGGGGCACATGCCCCTGTGCCTCTCCCAGGGTGTGTGCAGTGGTGGGACCCCCGCAGGGTCCCTGGATGAGCCGCCCAGGCTCTGACCATCTCACAACCCGCCCTGGAGCCCCATTCACCCCAGCCCCTGCCTCTGCCTCACTCCCTCCCTCACTGTGGGGGCCTCAATCTGGTCCCCTCAATCCCCCTTCCCCTTCACAGACTTGCCTGCTGTGATTGGCAGTGCTCCACAGCTGCTGGGCTGCAATCCTGGCTGTGTGCACATTGTGGCTGCATGTTTGAGTTTATGCACACTCCTCCCCTCCCACTGCAGCCACCCAGAGCCCATGGCTGGGCTGCCCTGCAGTCCTCTGCACTGCCTCCACTGCTCTGCATTTGCAGGGGCTAAGCCCTGTTAGCCCCAGCCTTTCGCCGCCTATGCAAATAGTGCTTGTGTTGTGCAGTACTATCCTAGAGTGGAATTAATTGGTTAATTAGTTTACTCCAGCCTAATAGCATCACTCGTTTAGATGGTGATTCTTTACTGTGGAACAAATTAGGCATCTCCTCAGTACATATCTCATGTAGATGTGTCCAGTCTTTACATGAGGCTTAAATGGCAATTAACTAAAATTAAGCATGATTGTTCTGCGGCAAAGTGTTCACTCAGATAATTCAAAAGTACTTAACATGGAATGATGGGCTTGTCCATGTGTAAGGTCTGGGGATTTGCTGAGAGATAAAATGCTCAAATCTGAATTAAGCCAGTTGTCTCTTTTTATCCTCTCTGACTGCCTACTGGCAGAGGAGCAGCAATGTAGCTGGAAGGGGTGGTGCTACTCTTGTGTTGATGTGGGTCAAATCCTGGGACAACCGGAGCATCTCAA